GACCTGGACATCACCGAGGGTCTTGTCGAAGTAGGTGGCAATGACGACGTTGACGGACTCGATGACACGAGAGAAGTTCTGGTACAGATCCTCCTTGGAGAGCTGGAGCTCGAGAAGAGCGCGATCGACCTTGTTGATGATGACAACGGGCTTGATACGCTCACCAAGAGCCTGGCGCAGGACAGTCTCGGTCTGGACGCAGACACCCTCAATGGTGTCGACGACGACGAGAGCACCATCGGTGACACGGAGAGCGGCAGTGACCTCGGATGAGAAATCAACGTGACCGGGCGAGTCGATCAAGTTGATCAAGAAGTCGTTCTTCTCAGTCTTGACGGGGATGTCCTTAAGGTCCTCTACGTCGTTGAGCTGGGCGTACAGGGAGATGGCAGTCGACTTGATGGTGACACCACGCTCCTGCTCGTCGGCACGGGTATCAGTGAAACGAGCCTCACCAGCCTTGGCAGCTGAGATAATACCGGCACGCTGGACGAGCGAGTCGGTGAGGGTGGACTTTCCGTGATCGACTGTTGGTGGGGTACGTCAGCCATGTGTCTTGCCACGCATTGCGGGGTTCTGTTGTGGGCGCTTACCGTGAGCAATAACGGACATGTTCCTAATGTTCTTAGGATCGTCCATGAGACCACGGATCTAGAGGCATTGTCAGTTATGCAATTCCTCAGGTTGACATTGTTGTTGTTGTTGTCGTCGTCGCTGCCGCCAATTGGGGCGCGATGCGGGGTGCTGCTGTGTGTGCGAGCGCGCTACGTACCTCCTCGACCGTGAAGCTGTCATGCTGTTAGCCATGGTTCCCTGATTGCCAGACGAGACGAGGGCAGATGCTCTCGATGTCTCAAGACGAGCGTGGAAAAAAAAGTGGCGACTTACTTGACCATTTTGGCGGTGTTTTTACTGTCTTCTTTTACGAAAATTCAGTAGTGGGGGAGCAACGAATACCCCGCTTTGAACGCGCGGGCTCGATGGATGGAGTGGGAGTTGAGCTGAAGTCTCTGGCGCAGCAGTCGACCAGAGTCAGACAGACGAGAGGGTGATTGTAAGCCGTAGAGGCGGGCAGGCGTCTGAGTGAGGAGAGTTCTGCTGCGAGGGGGAGCGAAGGTTTTTAGTAGGGCTAGTGGTGGGGTCGGTCGCGCTTTCCTCGCTAATGCACGGCCCATGTCTGGTGGCGCGAGGTAACTTACAATGCCCAAAGCAGATTGTCTGCAGCGCCCTTTGCCCATTTCACTCTGCCCGCCCCCTCCTCTTTCTGCTTACAACAGCCTATCTTTGCCTCGTGCCATCCCATGGATGGGCATTGGATAAATGACTCAATTGCAATTGCTGTCTACCCATACCGGCCATCGTCATCCACTCCATCTGGGGTTGCCCGTACTGCAGCCCAATGCATGTCATTGGATAGTGCTGCGACACAAGTGGAGACTGATCGGACTTGAATATCGTCACTGCCCCCTCCAGCCACTGGGTATTCTACATCTGGTCTCGCAGCGCCCAGATGCCCGATTCCATCTTTCCTAATTGTCCATTAGAAGCCATTGCAACGCCCTCGCGCCCAGACGTCTTTCCATGACTCTACCTTCCCTTATGCCATCACTACTGCACTTGCTTTTGGGTAGTCTCTAATGCGCCAGCGCTGCGCCCAAAACCGACTTTCTGCAGCACCAACGCGAACGCCTGTTGCCGTGGAACTGCATGCATCCAAACTGTCTGGGCGCTCGGGGTATACTCTACGCCCTTGCCACTCTTTTCTGACTGGATTTCCTTGCAGAGTTATGGCTGTGTCCGTACTCGGCGCCAATTTACTCATGAGCGCTTAGAAATTGGATCCTCACAGGCACCTGAGACGTTGGAGCGATATTAGATCACATTGGGCTTATCTCCGCTATGTCCGGTGAAAATTACAAGAATACCTCGACACATGAGGAGAGGAAATCAACACAAAGACTGACATTGCATTACTACACCATTGGTAAATTTACATCATTTATCTAAGCTGGCGTTTGAGACGTGTTGATTTGTAGCTTGTAGTATTGCTTTACCACGACAGCCAAAGCAGAGCTTGTGGCTCTTCAGCGTCACATCCTGGAGAGACTTGAGCTTGGTGCTGAAATATACCCAGAGGCCATCGCTAACCACAAGCAACCTTAGTAAGGACAGCTCTGATCTGTGCATATCGTTTCACATACGCCTCCTCTGCTTGGTAGAAGTGAATAACCATCGTCATGGAGGTAATCGTCTAGGTCATACAGATGGACCATCAGAACCATGCACTCACCCTCCATCCTTGCCCATGCGCTGACTTTTTCGCTCGCCACCATTACCATGCTGCTTTCATAAGCTGCGTCGGTTTCGGCTCCAGACCTTGTCCGTTGATAGTCGTCGTTTCCTGTGCACTCTTCCATCTTGAGACGATCCTTGCTGTATGCGTTTGGTTACGCCCAACGTATAGCTCCACATGCCTTACTCTTGTTCGTATGTGGCTCCCTACTTGTCTCTCTCCTACGCGCATAGGTTTCGAGCATGAACCATCTGTTAGGCAAATGGGCGTTGCCGTCGTCAAGGAAATCACCGCCCGACTTCCCTTGTTTTGAACAAGGCCTGTCCAAGCGGTCTCAAATAGACTCAGTCCCTCGCTAATCTCCGGATATAACAAAGAAACCACGCCAGCTGTTTAAATCGCTGGGAGAGTCTCGTCTAGCAATATTTAGCTTTTCTCTACCACATCAAGTAGGATGACATAAAGCCATGTGGTATGTTAAATGCTTATTCTCGACGCACTCGTCCAATTCGTATCCTGTCCCTTTCCCTTTCATCGGGCCTAGTGTTATTGGACACCTCCACCTCGTACTCCTCTTCTTCGACCTTGTGAAACTTTTCTACTTCAGCGCGCTCGTCATGGGCTCTAGCAGCATCCAGCATAAACCTGACTGTGCCATTCTGACCACGAATCCCTATAGCCGACTTGGGTGCTTGCTCAGTGCCAGGCGACAACGTGACAGGAGTTGCTGGTGTCAATGGGCTTGCAGGGCCGATGCCATTTCGGGATTTTGTACCATTGCCCGTAATCCCGGTTTCTGATGCTGCCTCAGACGCGTATTGGGTATAGCGAGGAATATTTGCAGCCGACGCTTCCTGGTTCAATCCAATACGGATGTTGAGAAAGTGCTCGAGTGTGTAATTGGGCCCAACGGATGTCGCGGCACGGTGGTGGGTATAAAGATCCAAGAGATCAAGCAGTGTTTCCATGATCTCTGCCCGGCTAGTTGCCCATGTGCTGTATTTGACAGGACCTGCATCGACAAACTTTGTAGCGTCCTTTCCGTGCAGCCTCGCCGCCAGCTCTAGACACGCTATGGCCAGGGTTGGCGTGGATTGTTTCAGCGGCGCAAACGTCCTGTACAAGTCGATGCTCAGGTTCCAGGTTGTCTTCGCCTCGGCGTTGGCGTCAAATCTTAGGGCTCGAGCAAGTTTGACCATGACTTTTTGAGGATATCGGTTGCGGAAGTCAAAACCGGCGCTTTCGAGCATGAGCCGTTCGAGACCGATGATGAGTTTGGAATGACTGTCGAAGCGCTGGACACAATGTCAGTTCCGGAATTACTGTAGACGTACGGGTTGGGAGGTGGACGAACAGGATCATCGCTACTCAGCGTTTCCCCGGGCGCGACTTTAAGGTTCCAATGAGCACACAGGATTTCCCTGCTCTTCTTCAAAGTGTCCTCAATCTTGCATGCTGTGAACAGTGCCGCCGCGGCCGCATCGGCCCAGTTATATTCATTGTCTGCATGTAGCAACCTGAACTTGTGGTAATAGATGACGGCCGTGTTGAAAGTTCGAATGGGTAGTTGCAACGCTCGTCGTACTTGATCGATCCATGCGACGCCTTGAAGACGCACAGCATCTTCTTTGGCATCGCTCATGTTGATATCTGAGAGACATTTCTGCATACGCGATTGTAGAATGTATGGCTTCGCAATCTCGATGTATGACGGGTGTGGACCAACGCGGTCGCGGTCGGAGGTGGAGGCGCCCGGCACCATGGTGCGATGTTATGTACAGGGCCGTCGTGCTGTACTGAAGGAGAGAGTGTGTAGGTGGAGGTGTGATGCAGCTTGGTCGGTAACTCAACACACGGGCCTTTGGCATGCGTTGCTCGGCGCGAGTTTGGCCGGGTAGCCGGAGCGTGTTCTGAACAGAGCGCAGAGAGCAAGCAGAGGCTCAAGAGTGGCCCGTAAGTTGCATGTCGGGAGCGATTGAAAGTCTATCGGATTGTGGAGCGATCGATGAGCTCAAAGTTACCAGAGTACTTAGTAGTTGGCCATAGCTTTGCTTTGATACGAGTGGTAGACAACAGTACATGATCACTCTTATATATAATTGCGAGATACTAACTCTACGCCCATATTATTACATACCTCACACTCTATAAAAAGATTTGTTGATATCGCAATACTATTTTTTGTCTGAAGTTTTTACTAGCTCTATACAGCATGTGGAAAGTGGGGTAAAGAGATCACATTGTATTTGTGTAGCGTGCTGGGCTAGGGTTGGGATATCAATGACATCAGGTAAGCCTTCACCGTCTGAAACAATAAGAACTAGCACAGGCCCCTGGCATGCTTCATTTCCTTTACATTTGCATATGGTCCATATGCACGACATCGCATTGCGCAATACAAGGAACCAAACATAGTATAAGTAGTGAGACAAAGGGTAAGATTTCTAATCCTTCCTTCTGCTTTAGTTGCATTATCCACTGTCCTATGTAGACCCATCCTCCCCGGTATTAATTCATCTCAGCTTGTACTGTACTCATCAAGCCAAAACAGGCCGTGATCATTATAATTAAAGAAAAGCAAGGACAGAGGCGCGTTGGCCTTCCACCTTGGGAGAATTAGAATTAAGGTCTTCCACTTCAACCATACGCATGGAAATGCAAGCAAGACTCGCTAAAAGTGCGCATAACATGGCTGGGCTAGGAGCATCTATGCCGTTACTCGGTCCTTGAATGTAAGAAGGCAGTCATCCTGCATAGTGTTAGCGGGAGTCTGAAGTATGCGAAAAGACAAATGGGTCATACCATGGGGAAAATGGTGGCAAAAACCTTGATGACCTCGCTCTGGTCAGTGACCTTGTGGTCCCAGTCAAGCAACATGCTGGCTTTGCCAATCATCAACATGAGGTTGGCTTGCGCATATGTCTGTCCCAGGCAGTAGTGAGGGCCTGTGCCAAAAACGAGCCAGTTTTTGGTTTGCTGATCAGCATCACCAGTGATCCATCGTTCAGGCTGGAATGACTCGGGATTAGGGTAAGCTTCGGGATCGTGGAGGGCCATGTAGGTGGTAGGGATGACCATGGAGCCTTTGGGCACAGTGTACTCTGGAGTCACGGGGAAATCCTTCTTGGCAAGGTAGGGGACCATGATGACTGGGGGACGGTAGCGAAGGGTCTCCTTGACAACGGCGCGAGTCCATTGGAGCTTTTCAATGGCGTCAAGGGAAAGCGAGGCGTGAACATTGCCGTTCCTGGCCTTGATGTTCTCCTCACGGATCTTGTCAAGGTACTCGGGTCGGTCGGCCATGATCTGGAACAGCCATGTGGCGGCAGAGGAGGTGGCGTCCTGCGAGGCGAAGAGGAACGTGAAGATGGTCATGGAGATTTCAATGTCGCTGAACCAGCGAATTACGGTAGCGGGCTTCTCAGAGTCATCGACCTTTTCACCTGCCTCGACCCTCTTGCGGTACTTTTCGGACTGAATCATGTTGTCGACCCAAAAGTCAAGAATGCACTCTTTCTTGCCTCCAGCAGCCATGCGGACCTTGCTCTTTGCGGCGCATTTGGAGAACTCTTCGAGAACCATGTCGGCGCACTTCTTGCCGTACCATGTCTTGGTAAAGGGAATGATGATTGGGAAGTTGACAAGCTCAAGCGCGGCGGTAATCAGATAGTAGTCGTCGGCAATCTTCTTGACAGCCTCGTCGGAGCAGTAGTGGCCAACAAAGGTGCGGCAGCTCAGGGCCGTGATCATCAGGCGGAATTCCTGCATCCAGGGCACGTGCTTGCCCTTGTTCTCGACCTGGGAAAGATGGACGAATTGCTTGAAGTATCTGTTGTAGATGTCCTCTTGGCCGGGAAGGTACTGTTCAAGCGCCTGGCGAGTGAAGAGGCTGTTGAGGCCCTTGCGGTAGTCGACATGGGCGCGGCCATCGAGGAAAACCCAGTTTTCGGGGCGCAAGAGCTTGTAGGCGACATCAACGACGCAAGGCTTGACAAAAGTTGGCGAATTGAAGATCTTGCGGGCCATGTCGCGGGTTGAGGCAATGACGACGAACCTGGGAGGGCAATTAGGACATGCAGGGTCGCAGGGTGGGTTGTGGGGCGGTGTACTTGTGGAATACCGAGACGCAGCTCAGCGGGCCCGACGACCATTTTTCATGATACTTGTTGAAGTCTGGGTTGACCGACTCAAGGAAGGGACCGATGAAGGGAATCTTCCATGAAGGGCCAACAATGGAGCCCTTGTTCCAAATGTACTTGACTGTGCGCGGGTTAGCAGGCGATGTCGAGCGGGCGCGCACCCATGGGGAAGTGCGGTGCAATGCGTACACTGGTCGTATGCGACAGCGGTCACAATTAGCGTCAAGACCAGCTTCCAGACGGTGAAGCCATTCAGGACAGACGAAAGCAGGCCGGAGGTGTTGAAATCCTGCAGGATTTGGGCGGCTTTGGCATCTGCCGTGGGCGAGACGAAGCTCAGGTTGGCGGCCATTGTGGTGGTGGTGAGGGGGGGGAGGGTCAGGTCGCGCCAGGCAGGGCAGGACGAGGTGAATCGGAAGGGAAAGCCCAGGGAAAGCGAGAAAGTCGAGGACGTCAAGAAATTCCCGTTGGCGTCGGATGGAGCCAGGGCCGCAAAGAGGGTCTTTGAATGTTTGATTGCATGACTTGGCGCCGTCCCCCCCCCCCCCCCCGGCAACTCGCCGCTACACTAAGACGCCACGCGCTTTTCTGCCGGACGGCGCCGTCGACTTGGAGCTGGCGCCAATGGGCGCGCGGCGAAGCTTCTTCCTCGTGTTGACGGAGCAATAGACATGCCTTGTATACGCGGAGTGCTCGGTATGTACCATTTCATGGTCAGACCAGAGCCGACCAGTGACGGGGTAGCCAGGGCACCCGGCGTGTTGTTGCCCTGGCGGCGTCGACTAGTACGAGAACTATACTACGTAAGTAAATGGCTGCATTTCTCAGGCACCCGGCCAATCGGCTATCTCGTCCGCCCGGCGTCCGCGCGCGCCCTTTCCCCCCAAAAACCATACGACATGTAAGTAGATTAGCTAGTTTCAGCATTACAAAGCCTACTATTCTACCGATAGTGGCGCATGGACGTCGTATTGCCCACAGCACAGATGCCTCTATAGCTGTACGCTCCTCATGTCTTGACCACCACAGGCCAAAACTCGCCTTCCTTAACTGGCTTCGTGGCTACCTTCTGGAAGACGGATTCCAGGCCCCATCTCTCCAACAGCATGTCGTCCATCTCGTCGTCGTACACTCCAGGCAGAGCCCACAGATTGACGTCCTGCTGCATCACAAAAGAGTCCCCTACCCAGTCTTGCTCGCCGTCCTGCTTGCTTTTCTCCTAAAAGTAACATTAGCGTCAATCTCAACACCCCCCCAAAAGCATCGCCCATGCCAATGGCGGTGTCTACTACACGTGTACTTACATATTCCCATTGTTCTTTCGTCAGCCCAAACACACCGGTAATGTCCCTCGGGAACGCCCAATTCTTTGCATCGTAATGAGTGACTTTGACCACAGTATCTTCGTTGTCGTACATGACCCTGTACACCATGTTCCGGATGCACTGTAAAAAGTTGATATAATAACGCTCGCGCTCTACCTCTGCATCGTTCAACTCATCCTGCAGCATGAGGCCATCCGATTTTGGCAACTCGCTCATGATGACAAACTCAATCTCTATCTTACCCTTGGGGCGACGCGCCAGGTACTCTACGAGTCCGTCTAGATAATTCCAGGTTATGCGCAGGAAGCGCTGCTCGTATGCGTATTGATCGAAGAAACATCGCCTCATCGGAAGTTCCTGGAGGAAATGCTCAAACTTGACCCGGACTTGCAGACGCCGTATGTGTTCTGCTGCAAGGAATGGCGGCACATCCCCAACGCTCGGGGAGTGAATAGGAGAAAGACCATCCTCCCCCTTCTCCCAGCTATAACAGCAAGTTTCCCGGCCTAGGAAATTGTTAAGGGCATCCTCAACGGTGCATATAGAGAAGGTGTTCCGTGTGTAGTACACCTTCTGCATCTCATGCGACACTAATGGGCCAACGTATCTGTGGTCCAGGAAATGACTGCTAGGAAGCACCATGTCGCTAGGCGGCTTATGGGTGTGCTTTTCCTTGACTCGGCCATCTGACAGGATGGTATAGTTGCTACCTAATGCCGCCTCTTCTTGGTCTTCGTCGACATGCAAGCGGGACACGCGCTCAACGAGCTCGGGGTCTACTTGCAATTCATCACCCCAGTTGACTGGCCGCCTGCGTGCTATTGGTGCGCTGTTGCCGGGTGCACCGGATGCTGACCCTATGACGGCATTTTTTTCGAGCATGTCGGGTTCCGGTTCCCAGTCCGTCTCGGCTTCTGGAGGATAGACGTACGGCTTGTCATATGGACGGAAATGATAGTAGGGGCCAACTGGAATCGTACGGTCGGCGTCTACACAGAGATACTCGTACACCATCTCACGTACTTCGACAGGGAGCTTCTCATACATCATGCTTGCCAGTTGAAGGCAGTCTGTCCGAGCATAGTAAATGATGGTTTTTAGGTAGTCAGCCTGGAGGCCTTTTGCTTCTTCTTCAGCTTCAGCAAGTTGACGCTTCAGCCGTGCAACTCTGTTCATGCGTTAGTCACACATGTACAAGTATATAGACAGACTGAAAAAAAAACTATGCGCTACGGTCGGCTGAGCATTGGTAGTTGTTCTAGATATTCCTTTCTTGGGCTCGATACAAGTGGACTTGCGCTAGTTGGGCCAACTCACTCATCCTGCTTTTTTTGAGACTGCGCCTGCAGGTAACGCAAAGGCCTCTGCAGTTGCGCAAGGTCGCTTGAGACGCTCATTATATGCAATCAAACGCGAGAGCACATGTGCATGCACCTACATGCAATTAAATCCATGAATATGTATGGAAGTATGAGATAATAGCAGCGAACCGAAGCGAGCCGGAGGAGGGATGCAATTGTGACCCCACATGCTACTAGCGCAGATGAGCCTATTGGCCCGCTCCCCGACGCGTCGCGCGTCAGTCAGTCAGTCAGTCAGTCAATCAATCAATCAAGTAGGCTGTCTGTGAGTGAGCGCTCACTCTGGACATGGGCTGAATTGATATGGCCACAATCAAGGCCATAGAAAGCCGCTCTGTGCACCACATACAGTCGGGCCAGGTCATTGTCGACCTACAATCTGTCTGCAAGGAGCTGGTGGAAAACAGCATCGATGCAGGCGCCACGGCCATTGGTATGTCCTTGCCACGACACTCTCGACCAAAGACGGCGGCAGTCAGCTGATGCCCAGCGTAGAGGTGCGCTTCAGGAACTACGGCCTCGACACCATAGAAGTCCAGGATAACGGCTCTGGCATCTCGCCCGAAGATCACCAAACCATTGCCCTCAAGCACTACACCTCCAAGCTTGCCACCTACGACGACCTCACGTCGCTGCAGACTTTCGGCTTCCGTGGCGAGGCATTATCATCGCTATGTGCCCTTTCCAAATTTCACATCATCACAAGCCGAGCCTCAGATGGGCCAAAGGGCACCAGACTCGACTTCGAGCAGTCGGGCAAGCTCAAGGGAACATCGGTCGTGGCTGCTAAGCAGGGCACTACTGTCGTGGTCGACACTCTGTTCCACAATCTACCTGTCAGGCGAAAGGAACTCGAGAAGAACATCAAGCGCGAATACAACAAGGTCCTACAGATATTGAATGCATATGCGTGCATAAGTGTTGGGGTCAAGTTTTCAGTCAGCAATCAGATACCCAAAGGGTCAGTGGGGACCGATAGCATATGCATGCATTGCCGATTGTACTGACACACATCCAAAGGAAGAAAACAATAGCCTTTGCAACCAATGCAAATTCCAGCACGCGAGACAACATCTCCAATGTGTATGGTGCAAAAACAGTGACCGCTCTCATACCCCTCAACCTCGAGTTCATCATGGACCCCTCCAATAGGCCGGGCGCCACGCAAAGCATCAAGGTCTCGGACGCACAAGAAGACATAGCATCGCGGACTGTCAAGATAGTAGGTCACATATCCCGTCCAGTCGTGGGCGAGGGTCGTCAGACGCCAGACAGACAAATGTTCTTTGTAAACTCGCGGCCCTGCAACCTGCCTCAGGTTTCCAAAGCATTCAACGAAGTCTACAAATCCTACAACATCACACAGTCTCCTTTTGTCTTTGCTGACATCAAACTTGACACAAACGCCTACGACGTCAATGTAAGCCCAGATAAACGCACAATCATGCTCCACGACCAAGCTGTGCTCCTGGAGAATATCAAAGACTCATTACTCGAGTTGTTCCAGGGACATGAACAAAGTGTGCCTCAGTCCCAGTTGCTGAAAAACAAAATACCGACATCTGCCTTTAAACCTCCTACGATCCAACCTCGTGAAAGCACCAAGTCTGTACAAGAAAGCGACAAGAGCGATTCAGAAGACTCGGATGGCGATAGGGTGGTGATACAAGAGAGCTCTAAAAGAATTCCGACGCGAGACATACCTGATGTGGTTGACCGTCCCGGATTTGTGAAAGCGAGCCTTCTCGAACGATTCCCTGGCCGCGACTCTGAAGACCATACGACTCGTCCACCACATAGCCTTGCAAGAGACAGTTCGCTGCATAATGATGAGGGCCACCCATTCGAGGCGGCTCGTCCACGATCACAATCTCCATTATTTGAACCCGAGGTAAACGCAGATAATGATGCTGCTGCTGAGCACCCGCAGCTTCCCAAGGCCATTCAAGATTTCAATGCACGTGTGGCGTCTCAGAACCCTCGCTCGGTGGGACTAACACGTCTATCAGTGTCTGCTGAACCTGATCAACAAGGCGAAGGTGCAGAACAGCCAGTCCCAGCGATAAAGCAAACTCCCCAGAAGCCGTTATCGCAAAGTACCATTCAGAATGCTTTTGATCGTATGCGCCCCATGCGAACACCGGTTCAGCAAGCCACAATAACTGTTGGAGATACTACAACTGTCTCTACAATTGGTACTGGTAGCCATTCGGTAGCTTCACGGCGATCGAGGATACACATTCCCAAGTCTTCTTCTACCAAGTCATTAGATCAGACGCCAAATAAAAGCTTGCTCAAGAAGGGCTTGGGCGGGTTCGCCGCACCAGGCACACAATTGGAGAGCAGTGACGAGGATGCGGATGAGGACGAAGACGAAGACGACGAGGGTGAGGGTCACAATAACACGACCCATATGCCAATACGCTGTCCCTCTCCTGTCAAACGCTTACCATCTAGAGTACTTGAGGAGCCACATATCAACAACCCGACTGCCTTATCCCGTGCTTCTACAGATCGCTCATTGTCGATCTCTGACGGACCCTCGGATACTGAGCCTGTTGATGTTGTTGAAAAAGAACCAGGGGCAGCTGGCGGAGATTCGGACGATGAGTATGAAGATGATACCGAGAAGAAGGCCAGAGAGGAAGCCAGGTTTACTAAGCTAA